GGCTGCGGCTTGAGCGCGGCGGAGGCCCTGCAGGGGCCGCGTCCGTCTGACACCGGGACCGTCAGGCAAGTGAGCTGGACCGTCCCGCGCTGCGACCTTTATAAGCCTGGGGAGGGGCCCCGAGGACTTAGGAGCGAGGTGAGGTGCGAAGTGTCCAGAGTTTCCTCATCCGCCCGGGAGAGGAGTGGCTGGAGACCGTCCGGATGTCATACTCCCTCTCCGGAGCACTTGAGAGCAGTCGCTGAGGAATGAAAAAATGACATTCTGATTAGGCAGAGACGACTCCCCAAACTTTTCCATCTCTCTCTCGGACTCACGCAGGAGGAGGTGGGCAGCGTGGACCAGATGGGTCGGTTCGCTTTGTGGGGTCACCTGCCGGGTAGTGGGTGGTTCCGGTTGCTCCGGGTGACAGACATAACTTGAATCAACCCGTCTTGTAGCCAGGGCTGGTGTTCCCCTCACATGCCTTTAAAGAGCTGTGTGCTGTGTGTGACGTCCTAACATCAGCCGTGAACACTCCCTGTGTTGTGAACATACTTGAAGTCTGTCTGGGGCTCAAGCACTCTCTGGGTATCCAAATGCTTCACTGCCCAGAAATGCCTTTCACGTGGGAGCCTTCCTTCCCAGGTCCTCTGCTTCCGACCTAGCTCAGGCACTTATCTCCTGAAAGTCTAGCAATTATCAGGAAAAGCCCTGAGTTATTTTTTCTTCTGTCATGTATGCTGTCTGTCGCTCTGCTGCTTTTGATATAACCCCCCCCCCATAGGACCTTAATCCTGTCCCTTTCTGTACAAAATATTTCAACAACTCCCCATTGCTTTGTAGACAAGCCCTGCCACAGATGTGAACCCAGTCAGTCTTTTCAACCTCAGCTTTCACTATTTTCCCAAAAATTGCCTCGCCCCAGCAAGAGTGGAAAACTCCCTATGCCTTTTCTTATTCCCACTTTCCTGCCTTTGTAGATGGTGTCACGCTTTGGAAGAAGGACACTGCTTTTACTGGAACTAGGCAAATTCTACTCATTTTCATGGTTCTCCTCAAGGGCCTGGATTTCTTAAGCCTTCAGGGATCTCTTTTCATTCTCATCTCTTACAGCTTTTATTATTTCTCTTCTCTCTAGACTCCTAGAATTCTAGACCTGGTACTTCACACCTGCAATAACCCCTTTGTATTATTTAACTTTTCCTGTTTGTCATATATTCAGCTCTGTACGTATATAGACAGAAATTGTCTTCCTTTTTCTTGCATTCCTGTCAGGCCTAAGAACAGTGAGTCAATATAGCAGTACACATTTGAATATGGAATCTAATGGATGTTAGTTTTTACCTTTCCATTTCTACTTTTTATTTTTTTATCATTATTCCACTCCTTTTTTCTTCTTTCTCCCTGACCTCAAAACCCTTTCAATGTCTAAAACTCTCCTGTTAGAAACAAACACTTCCTCCTTTTTTTCAGTGGTAAAAATTTAGACTGTCTGCATGTGAATCCTTGAACAAATTATTTAATTTCTCTCAGTTTCCTCATATGTAAAACAGGGATAATAATAGTATCTAACTCATAGGAAGATGATGAAAGTGCTTAGCACAATGCTTAGCACAGAATTAGTGCTCATTAAAATTATCTATTATTGTAGGCAAACTGGTGCTTAGGATGGTGATACTTGGTCAGTGGTCAATATTTTTAAATTAAATGAATCAATGAACAGTAGGATAGAGGTGGTCTGGGTTCCTAAGTCTGTATCTATCAAGAAAGCAGGTAGTGACTTCTCACTAATGGCTTTATTTTTTTCTTTTTGGTAAAACAAAACAAATGGAGCCAAAGAAGATGATACTAGTAATGGGTTTTAGTTTTATGGATCACTGATAGGGATCACATGCTTAATAAATTAGAATTAGGAAAAGGGACTTTTATGGTTACAGAGTGTACAGAGTGGCTCTTGTCCTACAAATTAGACCTAGAAAAAAATAGCTCCAGAGAATGAGGAATTAAAGCAGGATTCAAATGAATGGGGTATCAACTGGGAGCATTTCTTTATTTTGCACTATCAGATACTTACAAGAGGTGACAAGAAGACGAATTATTGGTCCTGATTAATGTCTTGTTTCATTGAATATAGTGTTTGGCTTTATGCTGAAAAGAAAGATGGGGTGGAAATGTGATGAGGAGAATGGGGTCATGCTGACAGCAGTGGACAACAGTCAACTTGATGGTATTTATACGTGGGGAGGAATTTTTTCACTTTGTAGCTGAGGCCTCCTAGAATGAGATATCATCATCATGAAAAAATTCTTGTGCTTGTCTCAAAATTTTCCACAGCAATGGCGCTCTTCTATGCGTTGATTTCATATGATATGAAGAAATCTTTTTTTTTTTTTTTTTTTTTGGTTCTATGTTTACTCAATTTTCTAGCCATTAGTTTTCGAGAATGACTCCATCCTGACACATCAGGGAAGATTTGCCACTGCCTCCGCAAAATAGTATTCTTTTTTTTTTTAATAATTGGGAACAATTTTCATTAATTGTTCATTTAAATATATATACATAGTATCAAGCATAATCATAATTCCTCTTAAAGGCACGAAACTTATTTGAAGATAGAATGGTTCAGGAAGAAAATAATCAAGTTAGATAAAATTTTCCGGCTAAGAAGTGACTTTAAAACATAAGCATGATCAGCAATTCTCAATCTGAGATGTATTGCGATTTCTTTCCAAGAGGTCAGTAAATCTAAATATCTAGAGACTAGATAAATACACACATATATATATGTATATATACAAATGCTATTAAAAAATATTGAGTCCCTATGGTTATTAATTAAATGTATTTATTTTAAATTGATACCGAATTTATTGATGACTTTGTGGCATATGTTTTTTAAACTGATACATAACAAACATATATACACTATTGGGTGGAAGGAGAGAGGGTCTTACAAAAATAATTATTTTCGCCGGGCTCGGTGGCTCAACCTGTAATCCCAGCGCTTTGGGAGGCCAAGGTGAGTGGATTGCCTGAGCCCGTGGGTTCGAGACCTGCCTGGGCAACTTGGGGAGACCTTATCTCTACAATAAATCAAAATGAGCCAGGTGTGGTAGCGTGTGCCTGTAGTTCAGCTACTTGGAAGGCTGAGGTGGAAGGATTGCCAGAGCCCAGCAGGTTGAGGCTGTGGTGGCCGCTCCCGTCCAATCTGAGTGACGGAGTGAGACTCCAACTCAAAAACAAAAAAAATTATTTTCCATTAAAAGGGGGTCCTTGTAAGATAAACATTAGGACATCCCGGGCTGGGAACATACACATTCAGGTTCTAAACTGGTGCCAGGACCAACCCCATTTTAGACTGTAGTTAGACCAAGTCCTCAGCCCTACCCAAAAAGCCAGCATTTAGCTGGCTTTATAAGTTAGACAAGAACTTATAAAACCCTTCAATTCTTCTTACAACTCTTGCTTTTCCCTGAATTTAGAGTTCCTTCTAATTGCAACCGGCACTTGTTTATTATGAAATTGCTTCTTTTCAAACTAAAAAACTGAGCATAGCTACTTTAATATATTAGTTTTTACATAGCACAAAATATTTTAAGTTGTTTATTCATTAGTCCTTAGCAAGGTCCACTGAGATAAAATGGCACTGAATTGCTTTTTTTGCAAGTAAGGCACTGAAAAATATGGGAAAGTGTCTGAGATCAGATTTTTAAATTTGCCATTCAAAATATAAGACCTTACATCAAGAAAGACAAAATTATGGACTTCACAGCAACTTGAATGAGTTTAGAATCTATAATACTCAGTGATCTATCACAGAAACAATGAACTGAGTACCACATGTTCTCACTCATAAGTGGATCTTGAACAAATATCATAATACTACAAGAAAGGGATTAGCAGTATTGGGACACTGCCAGGGTACCTGCTCTCAAACCAGGAGAGGTAGGAACCAAAGGGAGGCCCAAACTTTACCTGTTTGATGAGCACTCGTATACTTAATCCTGAATTGTATCCCACATCTTTAAAGTAAAAAAATTAGACTTTGAACGTAAATTATGTTCTATTAAATACTTTTGAATAAAAAACATTTTATTCTTAAATTAATCACATGTTAATCATATGAAGCCTTTATATCAAGTTCCATTTGAATGAAGAATTTATGAATTCTATGAAAATTGTAAAACATATGTCATATTAAACAATGTTTTATAAAATTAAAATAAAGCACATATTTCCCAGAAAAATTCCGGGGCTCATATTCCTTCATAATCTTTATGGGACAATGACAGTTTTATATTTCTCCCTTGACCAAAAGTCAACAGACTACAATGTTATTTATTAATTCAACCACTATTTATTAAAAGTGTCTATAATGACATTGTTATATAGATACATAGAGATGGAGATATACAGGTGTAATCTTGAACCCCAGGAACATTTAATTCAGTTAGAGACAAAATAGAGAAGAGGAAAGAACATATATTGAATGTAGTGATACTCTTCTTTATTTAAATAGCCTTCATCATAGATTTTTTAAAAAATATTTTTCCTGTAGACTAATCCATTCTTGAATTGGTTTAAGAAATTCAAAAGAAAAATTTTCAGGTTTTTAAAATATTTAATTAAAGAGATTGAAGAAAATAAGAACTGAAAAAGTTTTAAAGTCTGCTGAATACTAAATCATATTTTCTCACTTAATAATTTGAGGGTTCTTCTTAAGTTAAAAATGACTCCAACACACTTAAAAATTTACATATCATTTGAAATGTTGAATAAATGATGACTGATTATCTATCTGGTAGCTGGTTAGATGAATAGGTTCATTTAAAAAGAATTTTTTTTCAATTTGTAGTTTCATTTAGACTCAAAACTACAGGTGGAACAGGAACATGCAAGTCATTGATATTTATTCTTAAATCTAAATGATATGTCAAAT